ACAGGCCAAAGACAGGACACTCCAGAATAAACGAACTTGACACAGAACTTTTCTGCATGAAATAATGCGATAAACAAAACATGGAGAGAGATAAAGTGCTTCGCCACCAACAGGATGGGGTCATAAAAAAGTGTCTATGTTCTCTACAGAGTGAAGAAGTAAAAATAAGCTAACAACTTCTTTCTAACTCTAATACCAGTTTTGAAATGATTGTATAGGATTCTAATCTTTATATTATTTTTTTTTTAACTATAGGGATATTGAAATAGAAAATTAGCTTTTAACTTTTTGCTTTTATTTTAGTCGATGCAAATTTTGCTTGGGTAAAAGTGACTCCATTTTAAAAAGCTTCAAGCATAATTTTTAATTACTTGTCAAGCTTGGAACCTGCCAAAACAAAATACTCAAAGAGATGACTAAGGCGCAATGGTTCATTAAAAATAAAGACAACCATAGAGATCTTAAAACTGACCCACTTGACCCAATTTTGACATGCTGAAAACAAACTTTTTGATCTGGCCAATGTTGCAAATTTTAATGATATTAAGTTTGAAAATTTGCAAAGAAGACATCTCAGTTAAGACCAATTGAAAGCGATTGCCGGCGTGTGCATAAAGTTATCAGTGTTAACAGACAAGGTAAATGGCGTGAAATAACCAGAAGCATCAATATGGGGCGTGAAATGGTCCTTTAGAATTGAGCGGATACATTTGGCTGTATTGGGCAACAGAAGACCCACTCGAGTGGTTTTACTTACAGCACATCATGTCTCTTCTAGGCTCACGACCATATTGGTTGGACAAAATAGAAGACTGCTGCTTTGTTAGATGAGTCACGATTCTAGAGCTAATAGGTAAGTTCGAGTGTGGCCTACGAAGTACTGTGGAATCTGCATGTTGCTGCTTTTCCATGGCATCTCATTAACTGTGTTCAGTAACAACCATTCATGTACCTCCCAAACACCGAGGGAATTTTTATGGATGACGATTCCCCTAAATTGTTCAGTTTGAAGAACATTCTGGACAAATCCAGCGAATGATTTGGGCACCTCTGACATGAATCCCATGTAACATATATGGGATATAATCGAGAGGTCAGCTTGAGCACAAAATCCTTTGTCTGAACATTTTTGCAATTATCTATTATATTTATTAAGGCTGCGTAACTGAATACTCCTGCAAGAGATTTCCAACTTCTTGTTGAGTCCATGCCACATCTAGCTTCTGTACTTCGAAAGGCTAAAGGAGATACGACACCATATTAAGAGGTATCCCATTACTTTTGCCACCCCAGTGTAGATGTATATAGTCAATTTGTTTCTTAATTTTTAAGTACATTTTTACATCATTTCAATTGTACCTATCTGTGTGACTTATACTTCAAAACTTATGTTTTTTTATTGGGACATGCCCCGTCCCCTTCTAAATACCATTTGTATTCCTTTTGCTCATAGTATTAACCTAAAGAACACATGTTCAAGACGGATTTTAAAAGAGCTACAAACGGTAAATAAAGTTCTGTTATTTAACAGAATTTGCAAAAGCTTAGATTCTAACAGCTATTTTTTGAAAAATCTGTTTCAGGAAATCTATATTTTAAACCAAAAAGTTAGCTTATTTCAATGTTTCAACTCCCAATACTCGATCCAGGAGTTCCCTTGTCTTTTGGGATGGGTTCAAAATTACAAGGATACGAAATTGAACATTAGCAGTCGTAAACCCATAAAATTGGGTCAACTGCTCAACGACGGTTATAAAATAAAAATAAAATCCGAAGATCAAAAGTTCAAGATGGTTAGAATAAGGGCATCTTCGCGACCCTGGCACTCAGTTCACAATTCGTACCAGAAATTTTACATCTATATTTTTAATAAGGCAGTCATTTTTTAAAACTGAAATGATAGATGAAAGACCGAAATTTTTGCATAGTTTCAAATTAGTGTACAATCCTTTTTGACACAAGGGGTAAATATCTAACTTTCATAAGGTAGATCGTAATTTTATACGCATAAATCAAGAATGAACTTTTAAAATAAAAAATAGCCGATAGTGCTTGAAGATATTTTTTTAAATTTTCTCATTCTAGCTTACAAATTTTCTATTTAAATATTATATATTTATATCCCATAAAAAATACATTTTTGTTAGTTGTTGTAGTAGGCCCTGATTTATCAGTTTTTTTATCAAAACAAATAATATAGATAATTTATCAATACTTTTAACTTGAAAAAAAAAACTGCACTTTTTTATTAGTACAACATGCAACTACCTCCCACGCCGCACAATTGTTAAAGTTAGGTCTTTTAGGGAAAATAGAGTAAAAACAAGAATAATATAAAATAAACCTTTTTCATGTTTATTTATGCAAAGTTTTTTTCTTCTTTTTCGCGAAAAAAATTTAAAAAAAAATAAAAGAAAGAAAGAAAAGAAAAGGAGTCAAAAATGCAATTTTTTAAACTAAAGTACACTTTTTTAGAATAAAAGAATTAGTCAGTGCTTTGTTAACACTAATATTCTAAAACAATAGCCTATAAGTAACTTTAACCACTACACTCAAATTAGCAATGTATGATTCAAATTAAATTGATTAGTAAAAAAAAAAAAAAAATGCAATGCGTTAAAAAACGGAAATAGTTTTCATATAAACAGTCAATTTATAACTGACAATCTATACAACTCCTTCAACTTCAATTTTTCAAAATTCCTACTTGATCAATTTAGTTTAAAATTATAGATTTTAAATCTCAAAAGCAATAATTAATAGGAATAAAATAATTCACACCTTAACTGTAGTCCTTCCGCTTCTCGTTAGATATATGTATAACAAATTATTTGATAAATTTCACACTTAATTTTTTTCAATTCAATTAATATCCAGTCATAATATTTTTACCAAGTAATACTAATTAGTTATCTGAAAATTCCAATTTTAAATTAAATGACAGTAGTCCATATTTTATAACTCATACTATTACACAAAGTCGAACGGAAGTCCCCAGATCCGGGAAAGTGGAAGATTTGATTGAAATACCTTACGAAAAATGTGGTTATTAATTAAATGTTTTAAAAATTTCGTGTAATTCATTTGATGTTATTAATAAAATATATTAAATTCATAGATTCTCATTATTATTATTATGTTTTTTATATAAAATGTGTTTAGTAAATAATTGAAAGTATTTAGTTTTCAGTAGAAATAAGAGCTAATAGAACAGATGGAAGTTAATACGTTGAAATGTTTACAAGGATAGATATTCCTACAAAAGGGTTTTTTCGTTATATCTTTCAAAATATGATGATGTTTCGAAGAAATGGGTAATGATTTCTCTCTTGATTCGCCTATATTCGGTGGTATTTTGAAGTTTGATTTTTTTTAATGTGCAACAAAATCTGACAAGCATAAAAGTCATAATTAATGTCAAATCCTAATGAAAATTAAATAACAATTTCCAGGAAAAAAACTGACAAACAAAACCTAATTAATCTTTTCCTTAAGTAGGCAGAAACTGAAACTGAAGCTAAGTAGACAGAAACTGAAAATAATAATGCTTACAGATATATGAAAGGAAATACAGTATTTTAAGAGCAACCGTAGATGGTGAGTATTCAAATTATCAAAACATGAACATCAAAAATTGATATTTACATTTTCATTATAAAACAAAAGGAACATGAAAAGCTTTCAAAATAACTCATAAAAATTCCTCAAAGAATTCGTGAAATTTTTTTATTTACATTTATTTCAACTAAGCATTTGAGTATTTGCATTAATTCAAATTTATTGTTTTGTAAATTTAAATTTGTTCCGCTGAGAGCATTATCGTAACCAATCAATTCAACCTTCATATAATTTAATAATAAAACATTTTAATTTCATATCGAATTTGCATTTTTTAAAAATAAAAAAAATTCCTACTGTGCATTATTTTTTAAAAATGCGAAGCATAAACTATTGAGCAGTCAGTTCATTCTGGGAGCGATGAACGTAAAAGCAATAATTGTATTGAGTTTATTTCGTTTTTTGGATTTAAAAAAAAAAACAGACTTTTAAACATATTTTCGTAAAACAATCCTGAATTTAAGACCGATGTAGGCGTACCTGGACATGGAAATGAAATAATTATTAATCTTAACATCTTTGGGATATAAAAAAATAAAATTTTTAGTACACATTTGTTAAATTTGGACAAAGCATTCGATACACAGAAATCAGACAAATAATAAATTAAATCAAAAATCAATAGTCGCGAGAGAAAAAGTATATCGTATATTTTGTATTGGACGAAAATTTTCAAAATAAATAAATAAAACATCTGATTTTCACAAAGTTGAAATGGATAGCATATAAAATAAAAATATATGCATTAATATAATTTCTATTCTTATTTTGAAGTTTATCCCAAAATAATNACAAAAATATTTTACACAAAAACAATACCTTTATGACTTTTGTTAGTTTTAAGCTGATAACAGCCAAAAAATATCAAACATGTGATTTTTCTGACCAATAAAAATATACCGACAACGATGCAAAACACCACACCATCATTAGATTTTTATGCATAGTTAGACATATGTATAATGATATGTCAGCTTAAAAAAATAAATTATTATTCAACAAATACGAGGGGAATGTTAACTGCTAAGATGGAATTCCTAATAAGAGTGTTTACTGCAAGGCTTGCTTATGTGCAGTGAAACAGATTGACAGACAGAGCAATGAAGTAGGGTATCATTTCTACGCAAATTAATTTTCGACAGAATGTGCCTCAGTAAGTTGGAAGTACACATTTTATTATTTCTTTTTTAATTTGTATTGTATAATATACATTCTGTAATCTGCTTTTAATTAATTTAAAGGCATAAACCTATGTTTTGTTGTTACATACCTGAGAAATATATATATATATATATTCAAATAAGTAAAATCAACTTAAAAACTTAACAAACAGCTAATATTAAATGAATTAAAAATAAAAAAATTTTTTTAAAAACACTTACCTAAATATTGACTAAATTGATCTTTACTGCTTTCATATACTTGAGACTGTCTATTTTTTGTATTATGTCTTGAATCAACCATCCAAGGATAAATTGGTTTATTTACAAACATATCCTCCGCATCCTCTCTAGAAGGAAAAAGTTTTTGATCCTCACTTGACACATTTCTTGATTTATCCTCTCTATAATTCAAATATTCAACATTATCAAATGAAGGACTCTTGTCCTCACGGGGGGTTTCTTCCTCTTCTAGTTGCGGTGAAAAGGGGGACAGGTTTTGTAGCCTCCCCTGAAAGGGGTTGAAAAGTTTTATTGAAGTGAAAGCTGAAGTATAAGTTGAAGGAGCAACAGGTGGACTATTCTGTTCTTGGCATAAACTTCTAGACAACAGTAGGAGTTTTTGTTGTTCCTCGTCTAGTTGAGAGCCTTCATCGTGATTACTTGTGTCCTCAATGTCTAGGATGACTTGAGAATTACCTGAGCTATCTTCATCGTGGGGGTGGTCATTTTGGTCCCCTGAACCACCCCCATCGAAACCCTTTGCCACCAAATCTGGAGATGCAGTGGCGTAACAACTGTTATTATTTATATAAGGAGAAAGGGAAGTCTTAAATGGCATAACAGTCCGGTAAAGTTTTTTATTTTTAGATGTTGATGATTTTTTCCATTTTGAAGTCTGGCACATGTTGTCCCATCGTAGAGTTGATGATGTCCTCCCTGGTCACATGATTAGTTGGAGGGCCAATGATTATAGAGTAAGACCTGTTATGAGGAATAGAAGAACAGTAGATGAGAGAGCGAGTTAGAAAGAAGGGTGGTTATGTATGTGTGCGTTACAGGGGGATGGGTGAGCTTAGTTGAGTGATTTGGGGTTACCACAGTTGGCATCATTATCTTTTCCTCCATCATTAATAGCTTATTAATGGCTTGTTTCAAAATTCGTAGACAGAAAGAGTTTTGAAGTGTTGAAACAACATTAACAAGACACTTTTGGTTTAATGGAATAATAAAATAAGATTTCCTGTATTATTTACCTGTATAATAGGTAAGCGTATTCTTATACGTTTGAGTAAAGTTCCTTAAACAACAAAATATTCATTACAAAAATTAACTCAAAACAGAAATTATATTGAATTTATTAATTTAATATCCTAATAAACATAGATTATTAATAATGCGCAACTATTTATATGTAAACGTTTTTTAAGTATTGGAAGAACGATGATATTTAATACACAATGCATGATATTTGAATTATAATAGATTCGTGGCTCCCAAACGTTCTCCAAAATGCTTAAAATAGTAGCAAAATTTAAATATTAAAAAATGTTTCTAGAATTGAAAAACTAAAATGAAAAATCTTGATCCCAGCAGAAAATCAGAAATTTCTTTCGTTTATATAAATTTAATATGTAGAAAATTCAAATTATTCACTTTGAAGTGGTTGCAAAATTAGAGAAATTTTCACTAGTTTTGATAAATAACTTAATACCACTTACCTATTTAAGAAGCATCTTTGGAAGTCCTGTAGATTAATTTTATAAAATCTTAACTTCCATTTAAATTCAAGTTAATTTCTACAATACTTGGTTACGTAACACTTGAAAATATCCATTTAGTTTAATCACAAATTTCGTTCCACTTTTTTTTCTCCTAAAAACCTCTTTTTATATTAATTCAAAAATTACCTTTCAGACAGATATTGAAAGTACCTCTTAGTTCATACATAAGAGTACTAAAACAAAGTAGAGTAAAAATAAAATGGCAGAGTTTTTCTTGAAGAAGATTGGCAACAATGTCTATGAGTTTAAACATAAAAGCGGAGCTACATTCACTTCCTTCAAAAATTGAACAAACATGTAACCTTTTTACTAGTTTGGTTTCAAAAGGAAAAGGGAAATTAAATTACATGAGTTATTTAGGACATTTTGTGTAAAGTTACGACAGTATGTATTCAAACTATATAAACAATGAGTTGAGAATTTAATCATTTTTCGAACTAAATCCTTGAATACAATGTTATGGCAACTTTCAATGAAGTAGAACATTTATAACTTAAATAATGATTGATTTTTAAGTGCTCAGTTACTTTTAACCTTGATTTTGCCTATACTTCATATCAAGGTTAACTTTAATGTGATCTTAGCGAAAATAATTGCTTAAGGTTTTTTTTCCCTTGAAGTGAAAGTACACAATAAAATATATGTTGTGATATGCTTCTGATTTTTAATTTTTTTTCTTTTTTTCATTACTACGACTATTCTCTAAATTGAAACTGTATACTCTGGGTGTACAGTGATCCCACAAAATTGTCATAGTGGTATAAAAATTTTTGTCATAAAATATATTTCACATTTTAAAAAGTTAAACATAAACATGAAACATTCCTAATTGCCACAGTAATTTTATTACTCAATTATAAATAAAAAGCTAATGAGATATAGCTAATGAGATAATGAGAAGCTAATTAAAAACTTATGTCATGCGAGAGACATAGACTACTATTCGGGATTTTCCGAAAAATATTATTTTTATGTTTGAAGTGGTTATACTGAAAGTAGTATTACATGCTATGCGTAAGCTCTTGCAAAATATACAAGTAATACTGTCAGTAATTTTGATTTAGTCGTCATATAGAAAAATAATTCTCGGACAGAATCAAAATTGGAAGACCTATTAAGAATTAAGAAGTTCGTTATTAACTCTTTCGCGCCGACTGTCACAAATACGTGCCAGCATAAAACCGTATCAATCAGGGTAAAAAGATAAAACTGGTAATCAAATTAGTTCTTTAGCTGTTTAGTTGTGTGCGGGGTTATAATTGTTTGATTTATTTAATTCGGCATTACTTAGTTCAAAATAAAATTAATTAGTTATACTTTGAACTAACATTAAGTATATATATGATTAAACTAACAATAAATAAAGTAAAAACAAAGTAAGTCTGTCTAATTAGCATAATTACATTTAGGTTACAGTTTCTTTTATTTACTTACAGCTTGATTCTGATTTTGTACGAATGCTTTTATGGATCACCCGTCCCCACGGGGTTAAAGTTAGCTGATTAAAAATTGGAGTTAGGTTTAGGGATAGAAGATTTATAGCATTTAGAGGTATGCCACGGACGACAAAAAGTGTACAAAGTGGGGATATTTTAAAATTAGCTACTTTTTACAGTATAGTTTATTCAGCTTACTGTTGAAGGAGAATGTTTTCGCTTTAAATATGAATAATTTGAAATGTAAATCATAATGGTAGATACGATTGAATCATTAAATAGATTTTAGAAATTAAAAAGAATTGATTTTCAACCATTTCTTACATTTTCCTTTGCATTTGAGTGGTTGCTGATCTAGGTGAATTTCCACTGATTTGATGGTAATCTAATAACCACCATAACAATTTTGAGGAACGACTGGGTGCAAACTAAAGCTTTAAAGTTACTGGTAATAATATAAGGATTTGAATTGCTTCACTTTAAGAAAAAATATAATTTAATAAATAAAAAAGATAAATGTGTTTGAAAATGAAATTATGAAACATTGAAAAACAGAAAATATACGTAATAAATCAAAATATGAAAGATCCACTACTATCAGTTTAATTTAAAAAAGAATGACACCCAAATGTTTCAAATCTAATCTATACATACTACCAAATCGAATATACATATATATTGTTCAAACGATTTAAAACAGGCTTGTAATTGTTTTCCAATCAACTGTTCATGTTCAAAATTAAAGGAAAAAATAAATGCGTTTAAAATGTTTGCGATTTCATGTTTTCATCGTTGTTTTGAGTGCTTTCAATAAGGGTTGGGTGAACAAGGGTGGAGTATATGGGGAAACGAAAGGGGGCGTGGTGGAGACAGACCACTGGTGAGTAAAAATTGGATGATAAAGGAGGAGATATGTCAACTCATCACAAATGCTCTCACAATACAAAACATTCTTTTCATGATTTTGCTGTTTGATATTATATTAGATTTCGACATGTAAATGGAAATAAATTAATTTTATGCATTATTCAACAATTACATTTTATCATCACATTATGATACGCTTTTCATGATAACTAATTTTTTGTCGAACACAGTAATATGTATTGGTGTAAAAATACATTTGGGGTTGTTTAAATATTACATAAGGGGGGGGGGAGTGTTTGTAATTTGCTATGTTTACTCACAAGGTGGAAGTAGGGACGTGAGTAATGCTTACGTAATTTCCTTATTTTCAATCTTGTTATAAAAAAGATGAATTAAAAAAATTAACAAAACAGAGTTACATGTGAAAAAATTTCATACAAGTTGAGTTTGTGGAGAGAAAAATTTTTTTTTCAAAGATTTTGAAGTGAGGAGTTTTGAAAACAAACATTAAGGATTTGTAAGAATTATTCTACTCAGAATTTTATAAAAATTAAAAAGCGATAGTATAAAAATGGCTATGACTAATTTGATATACTTATTTTTTGTTTCACTTTTTTCACGAAGATGCAAACTTGCTTCAATTAGTAAAAAAATAAGTTTTAGTGATAAAGAATGTTAAGTTATTTTATTTTTGTCTGATGCTTTAATTTTTAATAATTTTTCCATCACTACAGACCAAACATTCAAAGCATCATGTAAAATGCACATTTATTGCAGTTATTTCGTGGTGACACTGATAGCGGGACGGAAAAGAGAAAATACTGGTAGGAGAACTATTTCAATATTAGATAGTATTCGGGAGGAGTTAATCGATTCTCAACGATAAAAATTCACTGTAATTAATTTATTCCTCAGCGAAGCAGCCATTCAATATAAAAATTGTATCCGTTAAAAACAATTGGTAGTTATAGATTTTTATTATTCTCGAAAAGAAGCTAAAAAATGAAATTTTTTTGTTACCAGTTTTTACTTTTTTCCGTCTTAATATATATCGGCTTTCAGCCCTGGTGACACTTTTAAAGAGTAGGTGTAATTCTTTTTATTCTACCACTATATTAAAACTTTTGCAAAAAGCGGGACCTTTGGCATCCATGCAATCCATGACAGTTAAAAGTGTAACTAAATTTTGATTTTGTACTAAGTAATGGTAGATCGAATATCTGTCAATCAGCAAAAACGGTTAAAGTAAAAATCAAATCTTAAAATCCAAAACTGTAAGAAATATGCGTATGTAATATTTCAACGCCCCGCTAATTTATATAATTAATTTATTATGATAAATACTAATGTCTTGTTTATCCAAGATAAATTTCAAGAACAAAAAATAATTGTATTCCTTACCGTTATGTATAGAAAAAAGTTCATCAGAACGTTCACCCATTGCCAACTGCTACGAAAGTTTTAATAAATTAGAAGCGAATTGAATAATAAAACTTGTAAAATAGGATAATTACGCCCACTCTTTTAAAGAGTTACCACTAGATAAATACCTGCCAATTTGTACTGTCGTTAAAAAAGATTTTTCAAAGTGGTAGAATTTTCTAAAAACAAAGCTATTAAGACCACGCGCATAATAAGCAAACAAATAAATCTTAGCTACTTAATTTTTTAAATTATTGACTCAACGCGGTAGTTTAAAAATGTTTGCTAAAAATTGAGTTCAAAAATTCAAACTTCAAGATTTAATATGCCGAAACGTTAACGTTGCTACCACTAAACAATTATTTCTCAACGGCCGTACAAGTTTGCAAATATGAAAATTTACTTTACTTTATTTAAAAACAACTGGGCACCTGGGCCGCGTAGCGGCCCCTATCCCATTCATCATGAAATTACA